TAATCATGAAGTTGATCCAGCAACAGAACTTAGAACGGATTAACAGTAAGAATTTAACGATTTTAGAAGATAGCGAAAATATTTTGCGGCTTAAAACAAAATTGTTACTTTTAGATACGACACAAGGTGTTAAAATGCCAATTGTGTTACCGAGTAGTCCAATAGTTCGTAGACTTGTCGAAGAACGTCACATTTTATTGCAGCATGCAGGGTTGAATATCCTCATAACAGATCTTCGACAACGGTTTTGGATTGTTTTTTGTTGTCAGTGGCTTTGAAGAAATTTTGACTTTGACTTTGAACCGTGTACTTAAATGAGTTTACAGACGTAATCGCTAGCGACTGCGTAAAAAATCTATGACAAATAGTTATTGAGAGGACCGCTAGGGGCGCTGTACAATCTGGCATATCTTTTTTACGCAGTCGCCAGCAAGTACGTTTAGGCTGAGTCGAACAATCCTACTTTAACAATAACAAACGTCGAAAATCTGTCAAAAAACACCGGTTATCGTTATAGTCACGGTTAAAGTTAGGTGGTGCAATTCAGCCAATGTAAAATCATGTAATGCAAACAGTTCTTAAAATACACACGACACGTGGCTCTAAAATACTTTGTAGAAAACATCCCATGACTTGAGTTGGCGAATAATCAATTCCGCCCCTACTAAAATAGTAACGACCAAAATAATTTAGTTTTAGTTACTAAAAGTTTCAGAATCGGCCCGTCTCCGAGTGTTCATTAATTTCAAGTGTAAAAGGCCGTGAATAATCCTTCATGACTTCGTGGTTTTGGAACTCGAGCGCTCTGGAATTGTTGCTTCAATTTGCCAGTTTGGGTAAAGTTTTTTATAATCGTCACGTGTTTATAAAATAGCAGAGAGTAGTGTTTTGTTTGGATCCAAATAGTGCTAATTAAGTGCATCTGTTAAGTTACAATTTAGCCCTTCAGTTTAAGTGTCACTCAATCTATGAAATCACAAATAAATAAATTTTGTTTTTTCTGTACGCCAAAATTACTTTTTGTAGCTGTATTGATGAATGTGAAAGAATAGGAAGGAAAAGTGCTTTCTAACTCAACTTCAAGTTACTGCCTAAAAATTTTCGCTTTGTGCCTAAAAATCAGAAACAGAGATATTTTAACTAGCACAAAATGTGAAACAGTAAAAAGTTAATTACAAATAGTCCTATATTAATCAGGTGATCCGTCTGCTTGTTTGCCCCCTGCCCCATGAAAAAAAACGTAATAAAATTAGTCAGTCATGTGAAATAGAATAAGTAGTCATAATTTTGAATAATTTCACTTTTTTCATGTTTTTATATAAACTAGCATCCAAGAGTTATACTAAAGTTTTTAATAAGCTACAAACAACATTATACCGACTAAAGCCAGTACAATAGCAATAGAACAGCGTTAAGTAAATTTTATAGACGGAAACAATAAAAGAGCAGTACAAAAGATACGTTAGACACTATAACGGAAAATTATACAAACAATCTAAAGTACCCTGAGAGCCACATAGTTACACGTAAGGGTCTACATTGATATAAAGAACATGAAAGAGACAGGTACAATGAAAAATCGGATAATATTTTCAACATAATGAAGAGACAGATAAAAGTAAAAGGTAACATATTTTTACTTGTTCTTATAATTTTTAAAATGACGATTTTAGAGTAGTCTATAATAAAATTATTAAATCAAATCAAAACTCCTGGTATAACTGGCATATTGACAGTTTCATTATGGGAAATATGTCAAAATAACTGACGATTTATTCTGAGATTAATATTTACTCTTGTTTGGTCGAATCCACCCTTAGTGGCTTAAATTATTTATGATATCTACTGGTGATAAAATATGTAGTCAGAGTCGGTGATAAAATTTATTTATTTATTTATTTATTTATTTATTTATTAGGTACACCAACAAAGTCACATACACATACAGTTCATACATTTTAACATGACATTTTAAAATTTAAAAAAAGGTCATCAAAAATATTTGATTTTTTATCAGTCATAAATCATAATCTTTGCTTTCAAAAACTATTTATTACTAGCTGTGCCCGCTACTTCGTACACGTGAAAACCCGTTTTCGCCACATTTTTCATTTTTGCTCTGCACCTATTATAGGTGTACCAGAATCTCATGGCAAACAAAAATATTGGAAAAGTGTGTTTTTCATATGGCAATTGTCTATGGTTTNTCATAACAGATCTTCGACAACGGTTTTGGATTATAGGTATTCGCAAACTAGTAAAATCAGTTTTAGCCAGTTGTGTAATATGTAGACGTTATTCTGGAAAACATGCGAATGCGCCGACTGCACCTTTGCCAGTTGATCGTTTAGAAGCGGCGGCTCCGTTTCAAATTACAGGCATTGATCTGGCAGGTCCTTTAATATTGCGAAATAATGAAAAGTGTTGGATAGTTTTATTTACTTGTGCCGTTTATAGAGCTGTGCACCTTGAATTGACCAAATCCTTATCCACCGAAGCATTTCTTATGTGTTTTCGTAGATTTATCGCTCGCCGGGGTCGCGTGTTAACTGTTTATTCTGATCACGGGACCAATTTTGTCGGGGAAAAAAATCTACTTGCTTCTTTAGACTGGGAGAATATTCAACGCGAGTCGGCAATTGGTCGCATCAATTGGAAGCTAAATATACCTACAGCCCCATGGTGGGGAGGTTTTTGGGAGCGTCTGATTCGCTTGATGAAGGATCTGCTGCGTAAGGTCTTAGGGAAATCTTGCGTGACATATGACGAGCTAACTACGATCCTTTGTGACTGTGAGGCGACAATAAATGCCAGGCCATTAACGTATGTAGGAGATGACAGCTGTAAGGAGTTGGCTCCTCTCACTCCTGCAAATTTTTTAAGTCCACTTTCACATTCAGATGCGAATCCTGATCTGGATCAAATCGACGGCAATTATTTGGGCACACGGGTACAATATCTAGCCAAATTAAGGGCAGCTTTCAAACGTCGGTTTGTAGCGGAGTACCTCACTACTCTGATTCAAAGGGGGAACGACAAAACTACGTCTCCTAACATAAGGTTGGGAGACGTAGTTTTAATTGAAACGCCGGAAAAACGAGTGAAGTGGCCATTGGGTAGAGTCGTTGAAATAAGATGCGGCAGGGACGGAATCCCGAGGACCGCCATGGTAGAGACGGCCACGGGAAGAAGGGCACGTCCTTTCCAGCGGCTGTATCCTTTGGAGGTGTCGGCAACTACCCCTTTATAGGAAGTTTTAAGTTTAAGCAGTGTGTTCTTTTTATTGTATGTTTTTATTTTTATTTTTTACACATGCAATAGAATGTAATTTGTTTTTTCATTTATGTTTGTTTAAACTTAATTGTCGCATGCGGAAGATGTAGACAAACCTCCTTTTTAGTTATTTATGGTTTTGTCTATTTATTTTACTTTTTTACTTTTGTCTTTTGGTTGCATTACAATGGCGTAACAAGATTGCTGTGTTTTAATTTCTATTCACATTTTACATAAGTTTTGCCCTTTCTTTAACATCATTGTACATAATTAAATCTCACATTGTATGGTAGATCAATGTGGGTGGACCCTGAAGGGCACATATTATCTAAATCTTAAATCCTTTCTCTCTGAAATACTGCTGTTTTAAGTTGTATGTTATTTAATGCATAGTAATACGTCCTCTTTTTCTAACATTTTTGTCCCGGGTTACCAAAGATGAAACACTGGGCCTTATTAGTTAGGTAGATAGGCAACCTGTCTTCAACCTAAAAGTGAACTTTCTGTGGTCCCTTTTACCTCGAAAATATTAGTTTAACCTACAAGCGCACCATATAAGTGAATGACATTGTTAATTGCAATGTTTTCGAACTGTCCTTATTGTTTGACCCTAATCTGCAGCGGTCGGTCGGTCGCTAATCCTAAGCACAGCTGCTAAAATAACTAGAAGCCGTACGGTGTCGATTGTTTCTATTAGCTAGCTTATGTGACTTGTCTATCGATTAGAGTCTTTGTTTTGGTGTGGCTTCTAGAATAACTTAATTGGGGGTTCACTAAAACTTATTTCTCATTATGCTTAAAGAGCATAATTTCATTGGACAGACATTACCATATGAAAGCGTGGATTTTATCCGAAAATGAAGTCATTTTTCCTAATATTTTTGAAGTTTGCGTTAGTTATTTTGGAAATTACCGGGTGTCTCCAGTGACAGTGCTCTACGCCCGATACAGTTACATGAATGATGCCAGAAGTTTACTATAGCATGTCAATAATGCATCTTACAAACACACGCTAATTGAGCCCTATTTAATATGTAAAAGTAGGTCACACTACTACGTACTCGGCACTTCTACTTTAAACCTGCACCTCTGGGTCACCTGATTGTGTTTCTGACCTATATATTTTTTGTTTCAGGTAACCTCCACTTGCAAGTTTACGGAACACTTCATTTGCTTTTAAACTAGCCTTTGCATAAAGGCTTTGCTTGCAAAAAGAACCAGGTACAATACCCTGTGACTAATGTTGCAACAACACAATACTTGCGGAACTGTCCAACACTGTGTACCTAGATGACATTGTGATACTACTAAATGTGTTAATTAAATAAACTTTTGTTTCTGACATTGTTCCTGATCCTATTGTTACGATTAAAGTAACGGATGTTTCTCTACTTATCTACATACGTACTAGCGTTTTAAACTAGGTTGATTTTATGCATGCAAATTAAAAACAGATTTTACTGTTAAAGCTTCATGATGATGCATTTTCTTGCTGTTCTCATTTCGCATAATGTTTCTCAGTTTAGTTTTTTGTTTTGCGAGTACAGTTCAGTGACTGTAGTTTCTTGTTATTCTAAAATAAGCTGTCACTTTATAACACGTTTTTATTTTTTTACTGAAAAAAAATGTTTCGTTTATTTTCTAAAATGTTTTATTGTTCACATCTATGCATGTTCCTTGTGTCAACACTAACATTACTAAACTAGTGTGGCGCCTCATCTTTTCAGCGCCATACCACCGCACTTAACTAATGCATGCCGCTGACTGAGCAGAGCACTAACACGTTGCTATGGCGACCACCAACAACAACGACAAACGCTTCTACCAGTTGGTAAGTTCATTAACTTGTTCAATACATCACTAATTATGGGTTAACCCGTAATAAAACAATGGTAATAGGGTTAAAGCCACATTTAATTGGGTTAAGGTTCGAAAACAATGAAAAAATTGAACTTATTATGGCTGTTATAAGGGGTTAATAAATCTTACAAGTTCAAATCAAATCAAATTTTTTTTATTAACTCTTCACAATTCAAGTACACAAAGACAATACAAATCAGGCCAAGTTTAAAAAGGTCCTTCCAGGTGTCGCCTTGAAAGAGGAGGGCAGTGTCATCGGCAAATGTGAAGACCCTACCTCCTAGGAGCTGTATTTGACATAGGTCATTGATATAGGTCAGGAATAGGGAAGGGCCGATTATACTGCCTTGAGAGACACCATAAGTAATCCCGGTCTCCCCACTTACCCAGTTGTCATTTTTTTTAACTCTCTGCGGTCTATTATTTATGAATTCCTCAAAGAGCTTCAAAGGAAGGCCTCTGATACAGTGCGCTTCTAATTTATTTAGCAGGCGAGATATTGGGACCGTATCAAAGGCCTTATAGCCAAGTCAAGGAAGAGCACAAGTAATTTCCTCCTGTTGTCAAGAGCCTTGATGATAAAGAAAGTTGTGCTAGAGTCGCTCAATAAATCACTCACAGTTCAGTTTTTAATTCGAGTTAATTTTGAAAAATTACATTGCAGCGCAACGCTCACGTCCTTCGATTTATTGTATTAAGTCTCGTATCGACACAATAAATACTATACATTTCTTACTTACTTATTAGTTATTAAATGTTTGCTGTTTTCACGTGTCGTATGTCACTTTACTCGATCAAAATTAAAATCTGCACTTTATGATGTAGTGTTTTACTTTCAGATGTTTTTCTTGTATCTTATTATCTATACAAATGTCAATCAATTCCAGTAAAATAAAACAAGTAGTAAAATAAAATAAAATAGAGTAGAAAAGTTACGTTCGTTACATGATTTTTATTTTCGTAATTAATATAATGAGTATTAATAACAACTAACATTCCTGAAAAATATCGGCATCGAAAAAGACAGAAGCGGTCTCTAGCCTACATAATAAATAAAATACTTTCATTGAACGCGTCTATCCAGTTCACTTAGTTTTAAAATACTTAAATGTGGTTTTGCAACCTTACGCGCTGTTAACTTTAGATAGTCACGCAACATTTTTATTACGATATCGAGACAAAAAATACCTAACTAAAAGTATTTTCTGGACGAATAATGACTTTAGATTTCGTCGAAAAAAGGGTTAACTCAAAAAGATTTAGCAAGAAACTGGTGCATGACAACATTTGCGTGATCGAGGAACATAACGTTTTTTGTTCGCTATATTTTTTGCACCGAGTGGCCTTGCGAACGCTTGAAAATTAAATGCTAATCCTATTCAGTTGGTTGTAATGTGATGCAGAATGCATTCTTAACGGCGTATAAATATACATCAATGGTTAATTTAATTCACTACATAGGTATTATACAAGTAGGTACGTGTAATATGTAATCAATCTCCGTGTGTATAATTAAGTATACTAATTATCATCATAATTTATCATATTAAGTCACCTACATTAAAATCAAAAACTTAATTAGGTAAAGCAAATTAATGACAATAGTCGTATTTTGCTGTAATAAGTAAACAGTGACTTATTTAATAGACACGAACAATAGGTAGGAACTTTATATTTTAACTAGCTTCTGCTCCCGGCTTCGCCTTTGTTGTTTTACATAAAATACCCAGCTATACTTCATACGGGTTCGGTGTAATCTCCTTAAAAGGTTTACGGGATATTGCTTTAAAGTTATCGCACGTGTATTTATTTGCTGTTCTGCCCGGCCCTTGCGAAGGATTTAGTTATCTATCCAAGGAAGAGATAAGTCTAAGATAATAATATACATAAATAGTGACTCATATGCGTATGTTTTTATCGTAAATTATTTTTAATTTAATGTGATTAGTCATTATTCGTGTATGATTAATATATTTCTTTATTTTTCTTTATAAATAAAACGTTTTCAGTTGCTAAATTGTAAATATCAAAGAGCAGATACATATCTATTTATACCTCATCACTCGCAGTGGTGGTAACCACACGTGTTTACATCGATTTAACTTACAGGACATTAAACATTGTATCTGTTTTACATCTTTCTTAATCCCATAATACCTATCTACCTAATTACTGCGTATACATAGTATTTAGGCAGTGCCTTCCTAGGAAAACTAGAGTATTGATGAAAATCTGTCATTTGAAAATTACAAATACCAACTGCCTATCTTAAAATAATACTAATGCTCGCCACTGATTCATAGATTAGCAAAAATTAGATTATAATATCAATATGGATATAGTGTGGATAATTGTTTTGGAGCTGGTACCTACTTCCTTTTGAAATATCAACTTTCAAATAAACTTTGATATTCATACAATTCCTGGAAATCACCAATTTGCGTCATAAGATCTTCCAAGCGCGTCATTGTTACCGCCTGTTTGTTGATTTGTTGAAATATTTATGGTGCTCGCTATCAGCATTGAATACATTTCTGAATGTGTTTTACAGAAATCTTGAATAATACAAAATACTTCTAATACTTGTCCTACTAGAGTTGGGACATATCTATAAGACAACAATAGGAGTTGAAAAATCTAATGTTAATGTCTACTGAAAATGTAGTATTTTCTGGTTTCCTATTATAATAGAGTTCTTATATTAGTACGTATAATAATGGTAAAATATTTGTTATTTCTTGCAGACATTGGCCATACAGAAGGCCATCAACTCGATCGAGACCCCGGTGAAGGAGAAACATGTCCGCAGCACCATCATCGGCACCTTCCAGGAACAGAGCGCCATCACTTACTGGGTAAGGAAGAAACTAGACGTCCACCAAGTCCCAATTCTAAGACATCTGCGGATAATATCCTTTTGTAAATGTAGACAGATTTTACTTATTATTTATTCCCTATGCCCTATACAATAGTACAAGATAAGAAGACTATTTCTTCCTTTCTCGTCTAATTAAAACATAAAGGTGGGTACACTAGAGCATTTACTTGTAACAGAACAACGAGCCGCTCTATGATATGTTCTAGTATCATCTATCATCACCTTTTCACGAACCAAACGTGGTTGGGAAACTGAACTTTTACCTATATTGTGTACAATTCGTAAGAAGGTTTAGAAATGCTCGAAATAATGCTCTAGTTACTAGAGTTATAGGTACTAGAGTCTAGTACCTATAACACTCATCTTTATGGCTAATAATTTTACACTCGATATTTGATTTAGAATAGCCCAATTTCGATTTAGCATTCTTTCCATCCCTCATCAGCATAGCATAGCATGAATAGCATCTCTTTACACACAAGAAAACTTTCACGTCAAATGTGATCGGTGTATTCAATTCCATGCTTGTCTTGACTAATAATGTTTCCCATTGCCAGATGGTGGCCATCCGCCTGCCGCTGCAAGACAACCGCATCGTGGCATGGAAGTTCTGTCACGTGACGCATAAGCTGCTGCGTGAGGGTCACCCCGCGTGTCTCGACGACTCACAGCGGCACATCAATATGATCGAGAACCTCGGCAAGCTGTGGGTGAGTTGGCGACTACAGGCCTAGATAGATAGATAAACCTTTATCGAGGCATTTTATCGATTTTGCACGATAAGTTATCATGGCGCCTTGTCGCCGGGCTAGTGTAGCGTATAGCTGAATCAGTGCCTGTAATATGGGAGCGATACGTATGACGTGACAGAGCATACAAGTCTAAAGCATATCTGAAGCTTTGCTGACTTTACAACATGACAAGACCGCATCTTGGCGTGGAAGTTCTGTCACGTGACGCACAAGCTTCTTCGCGAGGGCCACCCCGCGTGTCTCGACGACTCGCAGCGGCACATCAACATGATCGAGAACCTCGGCAAGCTGTGGGTGAGTTGGCGACTACAGGCCTATAGATAGATAAACTTTTATCGAGGCATTTTATCGATTTTGCACGATAAGCCCTTACATTTGTCGGATACATCGTCGATAAGATTTTATTATTGGTCGTCTATAAGGTTTCGCCACTGACCCATTGATTGTTCTGAAGCAGTGGTAGTAGGGTTAATTGTCACCGTTATAAATTGTCACTCAGTGAGCAATAAATATTTTGCATTTGAGCGGTACGAGAGAGGTGACATGAAGTGACAGAGCATACAAGTCTGAAGCACATCTGAAGCTTTACTGACTTATGACGTCGCAAAAACGCCCTCCCATGCCACTCCTATATCTCAAGCACTGACTCAATCCCGTTCCCGTATTTGTGACAAAAATGAAAGAATGATAGCCGCCCCTGAATGTACCGAAATGGGCGGGGCATATAACTAAACGTCTCAACGTCAACATAACCACGCACGATTGCCCTGCGAAACGTCAGAAAAGAAGAGTTTAGTCTCTATAACTATCTATCTGAAAGTTCATATTTGCAGGTCCACCTCCGCGAGGGTTACGGGCGGCTAGTGCACCTGTACTGCGCTCTGCTGGTGTGCAAGCTGAAGTTCCACGCGCGCAACCCGCGCTTCCCCGGCAACCTTCAGCTCACGGCTGATGAGCTCGATGCTATCGCCGAGAACGACGTCAACAACTAGTGAGTGATCTTCTACACTCGCGAGCAAAAGGATGGAACCACCATAATAGCTTCAAGTGATCATCTATATATACAACGTGTCCCAAAATTCAAGGATAAGCCGGCGCCGCAGAGTGGACCTAGTCATGACAGCTTTAGGAAAAATAAGAAAAAAAATCTATCTCAATTATTTTTTTAAGTTACACAATAAATTATGAAATTCGTCGAAAATTGACACCCCTTATGAAATTTTACATTACCACGACTACAATTTTTCAAATACTTCAGTTTTTTTGTTTGTATCGGCAACTTAAGTACCTAGTGCTGCTGTCCACCCCAATTCTTAAAACCCTCAGAATCCTTGCATTTTTTACACAAAAGTTAATCAAAATATGATATTTCCTTAAAATTTTGAACGATTTTTACTTACACTCCACTTTGACTCGTCGTTTTGTAAAAAAACAGTATGAACACTATTGCGGCAAGTTTTTTATAAAGTTGACGCAACTATCCAAGATTCCGAAATGGTATAATACACTAAGAAAACTAGTCGCAAAAAAGATATGCGTACCATTTTTACAAGCACTTCGCTTGTTAGTTAGTATGGGATAAATCTTGCAACTGAATTTAAAACCAGTTCTCCTTAACCAATTGAGCTGAAATTTGGTATACTTGTGTAAGTACGATGAAAATGCAATATTATGGTACCATTGAGCTGAATGGAGACTGGAGGTGGCCATAGGAACTTCTAAACGAAACGGCGGAATTGCATCTAGTTTGGGTTCGTTGGATTTGTCTTTTCGAGCACTTTAGTGCTAGATGATGTCCAGGGTCCTGATGATGAAGTCAATTATAATTTTCAAACGAAGTCAAGCTTGTTTTTAAAAAGGTTTTTTTTATTACAACTTTATTTTAAGCTTTTTAGTTGTTTCTCAATCTCATGGCCTAAGTGCTCGGGAAGACAAATCCAACGAACCCAAACTCGATAAGCTTCCGCCGTTTCGTTTAGGAGTTCCTATGGCCAGCTCCTGCCACCTCTTGACTTCATCATCAGGACCCTGAACATCGTCTAGCACTAAAGTGCTCGAAAAGACAAGTCCAACGAACCCAAACTAGATGTAATTCCGCCGTTTCGTTAAGAGTTCCTATGGCCACCTCCATACTCCATCCAGCTCAATGGTACCATAATATTGCATTGTCATCGTACTTACACAAGTATACCAAATTTCAGCTCAATTGGTTAAGGAGAACTGGTTTTAAATTCAGTTGCAAGATTTATCTCATACTAACTTACAAGCGAAATGCTTGTAAAAATGGTACGCATATCTTTTTTGCGACTAGTTTTCTTAGAGTATTATACCATTTCGGAATCTTGGATAGTTGCGTCAACTTTATAAAAAACTTGCCGCAGTAGTGTTCATACTGTTTTTTTTTTACAAAACGACGAGTCAAAGTGGAGTGTAAGTAAAAATCGTTCAAAATTTTAAGGAAATATCATATTTTGATTAACTTTTGTGTAAAACCTGCAAGGATTCTGAGGGTTTTAAGAATTGGGGTGGACAGCAGCACTACTTAAGTTGCCGATACAAACAAAAAAAAACTGAAGTATTTGAAAAATTGTAGTCGTGGTAATGTAAAATATCATAAGGGGTGTCAATTTTCGACGAATTTCATAATTTATTGTGTAACTTAAAAAATAATTGAGATAGATTTTTTTTTCTTATTTTTCCTAAAGCAGTCATGACTATGTCCACCCTGCGGCGCCGGCTTATCCTTGAATTTTGGGACACGTTGTATAAAAGAAAGTCGTGTTAGTTACTCCACTCATAACTCAAGAACGGCTGAACCGATTTAGCTGAAAATTGTCAGGGAGGTAGTTTAGAGCCAGGAGAAGGACATAGGATACTTTTTATCCCGTTCAAAATTAAAAAAAAAGTCTGCTTATTTATTGCCATTAAGGCGGAACAAAGTTCGCCGGGTCAGCTAGATAGAACTAAATGACCCAAAGATACATAGTTTACATAAATCATTGAGTTCTTCAGATCGCTCGGAACAAAGCACAGGATGATTCCATACTTTTGCTCGTAAGTATGTAACTTCCATATCAGCAGGGCTATTCCCAAACGCTGTACGTAGTTTCCGGTCTATCTGATACCGTGCGAGAGAAGGATGGCAACATTCGAAACCTTGGATAATGTTTTTCGGAGTTCATTTTCCGCAGAACCTATAGAAACATTTTTACTAAATTAATTAACAGTAACTAAATTAAGTAACAGCAGTACGCCGTTTAAAAACAAATAACTTGAAAAACAGACTAATCCATTAGCAGACTATTAACATCCTCTGGTACTTTTGATTTTCACACACTGATCACTCGAATGATTTAATTAATGTAATTTCGCATTAATAGCAAGGTTGCTTGTAAAAATTCAAGTAAACATTATGTTATATTTCTCTCTTACAGTTTCCAGATTTGCGTAGAACTGTTCGACTACATGGATGACATCCTTACCCTACAAGCGGCAGGTAAATATCATTATTTTTTTGCATTGTTTTCATCTTTATTTCTTAGAAATTAAGGGTGCCTTCAAATTAGAAGCAGCGGCGCCACTGCAGACCTTTCTCACGCCTCTAATTTGAACGCGGCTTATGCGCCTACATTGCGATTTTGATCTTTATTTCTTAATCATTAAGTGCGTTTGNATGCTTTGATTTGTGGGTAACGGTGGGTAAGTATGTGAAGTGTCAATTTGACCAAACAAATTATTTGGGATATAATATTTGGCAACATAAAACATTTGCTATATGAACATTTGCCAAGTAAAATTTGGCCAAATGATAATTGGACAAAATGAATCAGTTGCGAAAAGTACAGTTGCTAAAAGTTCATTTGGGAAATGAAACTTTGGCGATAAGTTGTTTGCGAAGTGAAATTTGGCGAAAAGTAATTTGGCCAAACGGAAGGATACCAAGGGACTCACTCCTCGGCGCCANACCATAGTATTATATCTATATATATAAAAATGAAACCCGTTTCGCGTTGTCACGGCATCACGTGTGAACGGCTGAACCGATTTCGATAATTCTTTTTTTTAAATGTTTGTGGAAGTCCAAGGATGGTTCTTACGGAAAAAAATATTAAGAAAATCTCTACGCTAAGGCGGTACGAAGTTCGCCGGGTCAGCTAGTTGTCATATAAATGTGAATAGAATAGAATAGAATAGAATAGAATATTTTATTGATGTAATACACTGTAACATTTTATATTGAAACCCTGGCTCCTAAACTAGTGTAAACTGTATTTCAGGAGCCAGTGTCTTCCCAATAGGTGAATACAGACAGTTGTTGATATATATTACACATCTCAAAGTACATAATTACTCGATTTTTTTTTCTTATTATGGTGAAGTTAAATTAAATTTAGCAACCCAGTGTGTGTGTGTATGGTGTGGTGTGATGTGGTGTGGTGTAGTGTGGTATAGTGTGTGTGATGTGGTGTGGAGTGTACTGTGTAATGTACATTTAATTGCCAATTTTCATGATGTATCATCAGAAGTGCGTGTAATTCAGATTCTTAGACTTTATTACATAGATCGTTAAAAGACTTGCAAGTCGACCTAATAAAAGCGTGTTAAAAATATGACTAGAGAAAATAAATTGAGTTTGAATCGCGACATTACACACAGTAACTAAAAGTATAGGAGGATCTTCAAATACATACAAAACTATAAAAAAAAAAATAAGAGTACTAGGACAATGGAAAGTGATGGACCAGAATGAGGGTGATTAATCAGAAGCTAATAGTAATATTATGGATATTGAAAATAGTAAAACAGTGAAGCAATAATGATCAAATGATTAAAACAAAGCGCCTAATAAAGAAGCGCCTCAAAAGTTAATTAAATAATAAATTGTATTTATTTCAAATTAAAACAAGGAAGGGATATAGTGTATAGACATTTGTCTCGAGCGCATACGTCACAGCCCAGTCAGCGGTGGGGGCATTCGGCGTCCGACCGTGGTGCGGGCAGGTCGTGCTGTGTGCGTAGGCGAGCCAAATAATAATCTAATGGCGGAGATAAAGGTGTACAATACAATAATCACACGAACATTTCGTTTGCAGTGTCCTGTGAAAAACCGATCCGTTCAAAAAACGGAATCTGACTGCACACAAGGTCAGTTTTGCAGACTCCAGCAATGCAGGATCCTGAAACCTGATTGCCGTTGGAAAGAGCCTGTTTAAATTGGGCTCATTTGGGCTGACTATATAAATCTTAGAGCGGTTTTTTTTAGCATTGTCTCCTCTCCACTTTGCGATACTACCATCCCTTCCCCCACTGTGGTTAAGCCTTAATATGCAAATGTGTAAGTAAACGTGTCATGTCCTTTGTAACGGTAGTTGTCTTAAGTTGAGCGCTGTTTAATTTTGGAAAATGGCGCCACTAAAGCCTTGTATTCACCTGCTATTATAGAGGGTAAAGTTGGTCGATCTGGGAGCCAGTGGCATAGGGAATAAATGAACCTGGTCTAGAGGGTAAAGTGGTATGTCTAGCTAGGCGCTCACTAAAGCCGTGTATTCTATAAAATATTATTGGCAGGTAGTTGCTAATTATTATTGCTCATAAGATAGGCCCCCTTAATTTAATTTATTGTCCGTGGTGCATAATCTTTTCTTAAAGGTTTTAAACCTTTGTTTGTCACCTGTCATCCGCTTTGCAATGGAGGGAAGTCGAACCTTAATTTCGAACTCCTCCTATGTTCTTCTGATGTTGCGGGTCCAATGACAGTTTAACTTTCCCCCGGGACAAACTTGACCTTCATTGGTTGGGTTTTTGTGGCGGTCAAGCTGTAGATCCTGGCTACACAGGAGTTGCAGTGGTGGGAACGAGAGGTGGGAATAGTCCCGTTAAAGCCGTGTGTATTCACCTGGTCTAGAGGGTTAAAGTGGTAGGTATGGCTCCAGTAAAGCCCTGTATTCACTTGGTGTAGAGGGTGAAGGTGGTAGGTCTGCTGGGTGTCACGAAAGCCGTGTAAAAGTGCTTTTTAAAAAGCCTATTTGCAAAAATAAATGCGTTTTATGAGTTTTTTTTTATGAGTTTACTCACCTGGTCTATAAGGTTAAGATGGTAGATCTACTCGCCATAAAAACCCTGTACTCACTTGTTGTGAGTCTGGAGGATAAAGGTGGTAGGTTTAGGTGCCACTAAAGCCATGTACTCACCTTGTCTGGAGGGTAAAGTGGTAGTAGGTACTAGGCACCACTAAACCCATGTAACATGCTTGGTATAATGGGTAAAGTGGTAGGTCCTCTCGCCACTAAAGCTTTGTACTCACCTGTTTTACGTATAGTTATATCGTTCATCATTTTTTTCAACTACCCACAAAACTCCGTTAATTACTAACAAAAGCTGAAGATAAAACTAGTCTTTGACCTATATTATTATCTTTTTGCCTTAAATTAACATGCCCAAACCAGTCAGCAGATGTTATTATTGACAGGTTTCTCATTTTGACAGGTGCTGTAAGCAGCCTCCTTAATATCTGTTAACTATTCAACTTTTAAATTGATTAGTAGACCACTAAATCAATAAGGATGGGTTGCACCATCTTACTTTAACTTTAACAAACATCAAAAATCTGTCAAGCTCCATACAAAAAGCACCGGTAATCGTTATAATTACTGTTAAATTAGGTCGTGCTATATAGCCTAAGGCTGGTGATTTTTGTATGGAGCTTGACAGATTTTTGATGTTTGTTAAAGTTAAAGTAAGATGGTGCAACCCAGCCTAAGATTATCAAAATATGAATGTTAGCAGTAATAGATTGGACCTTAGCTTAGAGTATGTTGAAAATTGGGATAAAAAGTTTGTATTAGAATCTATTTTTACCCGACTGCGCCAGAAGGGTTATGTTTTTCGAGTGTATGTATGTGGGTATGTGGTATGGTATGTATGTATATTTCTTTGGCACGGCCTACAGCTTTTAGTGTGAGAGGTATCGTTAGATTCGTCTTAATCGTGAGAGTGACACTGGCTACATTAAAATTGAAAAAAAAAATCAAAATGGCGGATTTCAGGCGCCATAATATCTTAAAAAAATGTTTTTCTTAAAACCTATCGAGTGGGTTACCAAAATAAAGAACTTTTTAAGTAGCTTACAAAAATGTATGTTATTTAACTAAAAAGATTTAAAAAAACATTATTATAGAATAAACAAAAAACCCAACTGCGTAAATGAACTAAAAAGATAAAAACAAGCCTTAGTGTTCACAAATGCAGTCGGAGGCATCAAATACATATCACCAAAAAAATAATTAGTCATTGATGCCTCCGACTGCATTTGTGAACACTAAGGCTTGTTTTTATCTCTTTATTATCATAATTGTATCCACCTAGGACAACCTTTTACAGATGACGGCACATCACTTATTATTTATTTATTATATATTTTACATATTATTTATGTATGTAGCATAATTATTTGTTTTTGTTTTTCTTTCCTGCACTAGAAGTACCGTCAAACAAATTTCTTTTCTGCTCAACCCAAAAGGTAAAATGGTCGAGAATGCTTTAGTGCATTAAGTTCGCCTTATGTACAAATTTATTTTGGCATTAAAGTTTAAATAAATAAATAAATCACTAGCATCTTATGCACTATTTGTAATACTCTATTTCGCAATAAAAATGTATATCCTCTACTATTTAGGCCACAAATTTTCGCTTATTCAACTCAGCTCAATGAGCACGCGGCGGAGCGGTAAAAGCGATGGGACAATGCAATTTGTAGTATGCGTGCTGCAGTGTTTATAGAGCCGATTTCGACTGAATTTTTCATGGAATCGATCACCATAAAATTTACCCGTAAGGCCGCTTGTAAACATCCGTTTTTTGACCGGACAACGGCCCGATTTTTTCGCTTGTAGTAGGGAATTTAGTGCAATGATTTGTATGGAGACCCCTCCACTTTGGTATAGAAGGCTCATTTTTGCAACAGTGGTTCTTTGGGTGCTCCTGAGTGGATTTCCGTCGGTAGACATCGGGAGCCCCCCCTGTGATAGCAGGGGGAGGGGGGGCAAGTTTCCTTCCGCCGCGCTTCACTTTAAGGCCCATATCTTCAAAACTATGGGTATTAGAGCAAGTGTGATATCATTTTCGGATAATTAAAGGATGGTGAATTCGTTTCTAGAACAAATTGTTTGCCTTTTCATACAAAAAATTAGAAATATTGAGTAAAATTCACAAAAACCAAAAAGTATTTTTTTAAATAAACGTCGTTTACTTTTAAACCACTGGAGATAATCTAATAAAAAAAATATGACCTGAAAGCTACATTTATCAGGATTATAAAAATATAACATTGTATGGTACTTTTTTCGCAAAAAGTAGGTGAAAAAAATTTTTTCTTCAGGACACAGCGGGCGAATTTTATTGCGCATCGGAAAAAAATATTTATTTTATCCATGAATTCATACTATTTGGTTCATAAGCAAGCAAGGATTATTATTTTAGAATTTATTTACAGTTGCTGGCACATCAATCTACCATAATTTGTATTTTTTCGTCAATTGATTTTGAACTCTATGTGTGAGACGTAA